ACCAGCTTCTGAAATGGTAGCCTTTCAGATAAAACACCCAGTCACAAAAGGGGAAGTAGAGTTAAAGGGGAAAAGGTGATACTAGTTAATCAAACAGAATGTGGAACAAAAATACTGTATATATTTACTATAAACTGACTTCATATATAAGTCAAGGGCAGGCTATGGGCCCAAAATTATGCATTTTGATATGACCTGGAGATACATTGAGGGTAAAACTTAGGGACATGAACAAAGGATCTAAAGATGAAGCAAAGGAAAGCAATGCCAAAAAACTTATAAAATTCCAGCAGGCGTTTGTGCTCATACTAACTTTGGGCTGGATGGATGAGGGAATGGAGGTAGATCAACGCCTGCAGTCGAGATTACACTCGTCTTTCACCAAGGAATGGTTAAACTCTTTTTCAAATAAGAGTTAAAGTACAGTACTTACATTGACCCATGGATAAGTCGACTCAGTTTTTTGGGATTAATATTCTGTCTAAAATTTCTAGACTTATACATGAATATGTACAGAATATACTTGTGAATCAAAGGGAACACCAATCTACCACAAATTCTAATTAAAATGCTTAGAACAAAACATAGTGTATGCACTTAAGTATTTTATGTTCACAAATACAACCCAGGGCATTGCAGGGCATTTACTTAATTTTTTTGCAGGAGGTAGTATATAATCCCCCCCCCCTTTCTCCCCAGCTGTCTAGTTGTCAGAGAGCTATTGTTTCTAATGGGTCTGCACAAGATAATTTGGCCTCCAGCAATGGCATCTGAACAAAGAAAATAATAAATGTCCAATGTCTCTCTTACACAATATTTATAAAGGAGCTACTCACCATTTAAATTGTTGCTACAGCCATGGGGACAAGAGTGCTTTCCCCCTTCACTACTGTCTGGCAAAAGACTGCAAAATAATCTCACTTCTGTACACAAGAGAAGCCTGCCTTTTTTGATCCTGATTGTATCAGAGTTGCTAGGTAACTCTTTCTCTTGACAACAGCCATGGATTTGGTCTCCCCTCCATCGGCTCCCCTTCTCAGAGCTAAAGCTCTTGCTCCACGCCAGTCCAACTTCTAGTTTTCTTGCCAGAACAGCCAAATTCTAGACTGGAGAAAATATCTGGAGAATATTTTCCTTAGAATTTATCTCAGCTGTGGATGGAGACAAGGATGCATCCTGATGAAGATATTTTGTACAATTATTTTGTACTCTTTCCCTATGAACTCTATGTATGTTTACATTGTTGTTGTTATGTGCCTTCAAGTCATTTCTGACTTATGTCGATCCTAAGAGCCAGTGTGGTGTAGCGGTTCTAGTGTTAGACTACTGTATATACCCGTCTATAAGTTGAAAAATGTATGCCCAAAAATTGACTGCAAAATCCCAGGTCGACTTATTTACATGTCAGTATGGTAATGTGATAGCAGCTCTTTCAGATTTCCCCATGCAGTGCAAATAGCAGTTTCTTTCTCTCTTGAGCTAAGCACAAAGAGTCCCAGGTGACTGACTGCTGTTTGTTTAAGAGTCACATTCTCACCTGTGCTGCCCTGTCTCAGGAGTGAAGGCTGAAACGTGAAGCAGAAAGCCTTGTGAGTGATTGATTGCTGCTTCTTTAAGAGTCCCTCTTGCCATGCGCACTCATACATGCACTCAAGGAGCCTCCAAATTTTACCCTCGACTTATCCACAGGTCATGGCAAAATCCACGATTTGGGCCCCAAAACCTGCCCTCGACTTATACATGAGGTTGACTTATAGTCGAGTATACACATTATGTCTGGAGACCAGGGTCCAAATCATGGCCATGTAAACCCACTGGGTGACCTGAGGCAAGTTACACTCTCTCAGCCTCAGAGGATGGCAATGGCAACCCCTCCTCTGAAGAAATTTGCTAAGAGATCCCCATGATAGGTCTGCTTTAGGGTTGCCATAAGTCAGAAACGACTTGAAGGTGCACAACAACAAAGAGTAGTGATAATTATCACTACAGAGAAGAGCACTTTAATATGTTTCAACAAACTTTTTACTGAAAATGAATATGCACATGTGAAATGATACAACCAGGAAAGGTAAGCCTTGCATAAGTAAACAAAACAAAACAATTTTGGACCTTCTGAAGACCACTCGAAGGCTTCTTCCAAAATGCATCCTGGGATGACTTTTTCTTTTGCTAGTCCGCCTTTTTCTTATGAATTACATTTTGTTGGCCAAACTTAGGGGGGTTGCAGACTGCCAGAAATAGTGCAAATTGAGTCCACTTTTAGAGTTAGGGTTAGGGAATCATGGGAACTGTATTTTATTGTGGCACCAGAGCTCTCTGACAGAGAAGGCTCAATGTCTCAGGGGAAAAAAACAATTCCCATGATTCCCTAGCACTAACTCTAAAAGTGGACTCAATTTGCACTATTTCTGGCAGTCTGCAACCCCCCTTAGATATCTATGATTTTTTAGAAGAAGTTGGGGTAGCTGTTGACAGAGGCTTATCTCCCCTTTTTGTTTTCCTGTTCTAACATGCTTAGTAAGGGATTCTGCTGTTTGCTTTATCTGTTGTGAATAGATACAGAAGGCTACAATAGGATTGTCTAAAGCAGAATCCCATTCTTTCTCAGCTCAAGTTTTATTGCTGCAATCTGACGCTTTCAGTCACAGGCCTTCAAATCTGCCCACAGTAAGCAGTACTAATATCAGGAGTACAAATAATATAGTTCAAACTACCTAGAAGCTCAAATAATGTTATACTATACCCTAGGAGGTGATCTAATGCTGTTTACAAAGACATTACTGATGTCAGCATGGAAAATGAAAATACAATAGCTTCAAAAGATTTAATCATGCAACAGGTATATGAGATACATGTTTTCCAATTACACCTCCTCTACAAGATAAACTTCTCTCCTAACCAAGGGGGGTTGCAGAATGCCAGAAATAGTGCAAATTGAGTCCACTTTTAGGGTTAGGGTTAGGGAATCATGGGAACTGTATTTTATTGTGGCACCAGAACTCTCTGACAGAGAAGGCTCAGGAAAAAAAAAATTCCCATGACTCCCTAGCACCAACCCTAACCCTAAAAGTGGACTCAATTTGCACTATTTCTGGCAGTCTGCAACCCCCCTAAATTTACAGTAAACCCATTAAATATATTTACTCATCTTCTCAGTAAATGTGCATAGATTTGATCTCTATCAGAAATAGAGTTGCTTATTCCAGTAAACAAAAGCATGACTGTGTTCTTTCTCACTATACAGTCATAGCGTTTTGATGGCAATTTAATTCTACCTACTCCATCCTACGATTTGTAGTATCATGAGATATTTAGACTTTA